TTTATTGAACAGGATGGAATCATTTCATATTTAAAGAACTTTCAGAAGTTTGATTTTTCCTTTAAAACTGTCCATCTAGGCTTCTATCTACCATTCCGCTTTAATTTCTCTGGTTTTTACCAGTTTATGTTGAATCATTGAAAGAACCATAGTGTAAGGTCCTAGTGAACAAGGAGTCTATATCTGCTATGGTTTGGTAAAGAAAGGGATCAGAAATAAAGTCAATGTTTGTATTGTTTTCTTTTGGTCTAATTAAAGTCTGGCCTTTCTTTTCTCTCCGGTTTTTATCGTTTCTTTAAGTGGATTTTTTTATCATCTCTTCTCTAAACTGGTCTTTGGAAGCAAACCGTCCCTAAAATGGCAGCAGAGTTGATTAAAACACTGGAGAAATGAACATATATGTATTTTTTTTTCTTAACTTTTTCTGCCATTCCAGACCAGAAGAATTACCCCATTGTGCAGAGCATATAAGCCTCCGCGTTATGTCCATCCCTCCCCCCTCCACAAACATGACTGCATAATAAAGTAGCTCTGCAGACAATAGACAGAGGAGATGTGGGAACCTGCACCACCAGGCGCTAAGCTCAGGGAGCCAAACCTTTTCTTTTTTCTTTTTGTGCAACACAGTCTGATCTCCTCACCGGTCTGTTTTGAATTTCCAATTAAAGGTTCGATTCTCTCATGTGTTTCCATTCGCCCATTGTTTCTCACTCGTGTTCTTCTCCCTGAGCCATCGCTATATCTTCCTTACTTGCTCTTACACAGTGTAATTAACCAGTTAGTATCCAGAAAGGCCGTAATTAAAACTTGTGGTTGGGGAGGAAACCTCAGCAGGAGGCTTTAATGGACTTTCATCACTTGATCCTTGTGCTTATTTAATTAGCTTTCGTCTTCAGGGCAAGGGGTGCGCTGCTTTTCCCGCCACGCGCTGCACTACAGTCTATTATTGGCAAAGTATTCAAACTGCTACCTGCTACAGGGATAAACATTTAAAAGGAACATTGCACATTTCTAACCAGTTCCCCGAACACTAGCTTTGGTTAGTAAAGTATTTCTCTTTATTGTGTAAGATTTACAGACATCTGGGAGTAAAATGGGGATATTTCACTAAAAATAAACACTAAACCATGGTGGGTGTCACTACCCGATCTGTACCGTCAGCTCATTTGCTCATTCAGATATAAATTGGGGTCGCTCTTGATTTTCTTTTGTAAAATAGACTTTAATTTCGTTTCTCCCTCCCCAAAAATAGTAAGCATACTAAAATATAATGTTTTAAAGGCTAATTATGTATTTCCTGAAAACATAAATGCCTTAAAATCCTTTCTGCTATATCACTCCTTTGTGCCCGATCTGCACCAGGAATGGGATACTGTGCTGTTTCTGGGCAGGGGGGGGATTTACCATCAGGCAATACTATGCAGTTGCCTAAAACCCCAAGTTCCTGGGGGCCCCATAAAACATTTTAATACAA